ACGGGGACTTGGTCATTTTATTATGCCTGTGTTCATATTTCCGGACATTTTCTTTGCTGAAAATGATATCATAGAATTTTGGGATGGTTCATCGTTTTTAAATGAACCCAGAAACCTTCCGAAATTTTTTTTCATTTTCTCAACTATCTCATTTCTGCCAACTATCTACCTAATTTAATGCTTATCTTCTTCTTTTCTTTTTTTTTTTCTTTGTTGAAAATAAAAAATTTTAAATTTAAGTTATATGATATATAAATAAAATAAAATAAAAAATAAAAGATAAATTTTTTAAATTTAAAAATTAATTAAAATGAATAGAGAATAATAGAATTAAAGTAAAAAATATTTATTTATTTTAAAAAATAAAAAATATAACATATGCACTTAGGTTAAAAGCTCAATGACGTTAGGTCACGTATAAGTGTATTTCTCTCTCCACTTCAAAGCAACGATTTGAATCCGATCCATGCAAATTTGTTTAAAAAATAAAAAATATAACATATGTTTTTAACATACATTTTAAAGCCACAACTTAGAAAAATAAAAAAGAAAAAATTTTAAAAAAAGAGTTTATTTCACCCATTTTAAAGAGTAAAAATGGCATGTTGGGTCAGACACATCGATGATTTGAGCCCAAGGCCCAAAACTAGGTAAAAGGTCAGAATTAGCATCTTCATCCTACATTTTTTCCCAAATTCCTGGCACCAATGAATTTTTAGCATGTCTGTCTGTACAGTCTACAGTGACTAGAGGCACAGACTCTTCACTCCTCTTGAACAAAGTATTTGGTTTTGTTAGCAACAGGAATTTCTTGGGTTTCTGATTTCATTAGAGTAATAAAAGTTTGAGATTCTTGCACCATTTACCAGCATCATTCTTTTGTATAGAGAAAAATAAGTAAAGAAAAAGTTATCAAGTTTACAACTTTTTTATTTTTTTATTTTTTGGGATCAATGGACTGTCTTCGCCCTAGAAATAGACCACCAGTCTTCTCTGGATTCACAGAGGCTGAGGTAAAAATTTCTCAGCTTTTTATCTTTTTCTTATTTTTTGCAACATTTATTCATCTGGGTACCCAGTAGTTTCTGTAATTAGGTTCCATGGTGTTGTATTAGTTTGGGTTTTCATGGGGTTTTGCAGGGTTTAATGGAATATTGTATTTATGTTTGTGCAAGGAAATGTCAAATGCGGCTGATTAGCTGCTGAATTTGGCTGGCTTGGTTTGCTTGGTGGCTTTACTTAAACTTGTTGTTTGATTTGAAATTATAATTGATATATATATATATATATATATATAGACATTAGACTAATATGAAAAGCTCTCAGCATTTCCCTGAGAGATATACCGAGCCATAGACCTTTTTTTTTTTCTTTTTTTTCTTTTTAATTAACGTGTGGGTGAGTGGTTATTGGCATCATTACTAATCTTTGATGAACATTACATTATAGTGCTTTTTTCCTTTCTCACTGACACCATCTAATCCTGAAATCCAATTTTGCAAATATGGTTGTGTAATTTGGCTTCCCATGTTTGGTGCGTATACACACACACACACATTAAAGTTGAGATCTTTCTTGATTTAAAAATTGTGTGTATCAAGGCTGTACTTTCCATGTTTTTGTTGGTACATTGCTAATTCTTCATGAACTTGACATTTTGGGGCTTTTTTTTTACATCCATGCTATCTGATTCTCAAATCCAATTGTGCAGATATGGTTGTGTGATTTGCCTTGCCATGTTTGGTGCAAGTATTTGGAAGTTAGGATCTTCCTGATTCAAATTGTTTGCGCGTCAATGCTGTACATTCCATCTTTTTCTCTTGGAAATAAATCCTTCAATTTTTTGCAATTACAGTGTGATTTCACTGATTTGTACTTGTTCGTGTAAATTTATTTTGCTAAAGGTACTGCAGAACTTATTTTTACTCATTCATGCCGTGTGCTCCGTCATTTTCTCTTGGAATCATATCCTTCCATTTTTTGGAATCACAGCTTTACTGTTAAGGTGAAATATTTCTTTGTTCACGTAAATAAAATATGCTAAAGTGACTGGATGGCAAAACTTGTTTTGACTCGTGCTGTCCCTCCTTTCATGTAGGTGGAGAAGATGGAGAACTCATTCACAGGATCGAGTGAAGACTTGCTGGATAAGGGTTTTCGCCAAAAAACTGCAAGAAGTTTTAAGTGAGTTCCATTTTATTTATTTCTTTTAAGGTTTTTTAGTAAAATGAAATGAGATAGTTTGAATTTAGATTTGTTCATGTCTCTGCAGTTGTTCCTCTGGT